CCTGATATAATAGTAAGCAAGTGCGTGGTTTTGGATATGTAGCTGCAATTTAAAGAACAATGGTAGTCCGTCCTAAAAAATGCGGAACTAAATTACTTGGACCCATGTGTTAGGGTTTCATTGTAACGGTCCGAGAGTTTAAACCGGGATTATCTTCCTAGCCATGTTGACTGGAAATAAACAATATGCTGATTATGCAACTTGTTTTTCTACATAGCAGTCGAAATGATTTCGTATGGCTTCGCTCCGCTCCCTGCGCTTGTGTACGGTTTGTACTTTTGGACAGAAGAAAAGGCTGAGAAGGATATCTAAGGGCTTGAAGTCGCAGACAGTTTTAAAAAATTGATAAACTTTGTTCCAAACAAACAAAAAGCCTGCTTAAAACCGTCATGTAAAGTCACACTGTTAATTTATCGAGTCTTGAGTTTTTTTAATGGCATGGTTAGTGTAGTGCTCATCGGGATCTCTTTATGAGGAAGGATATAGACCAAAGTATAATACTAGAGGAACGCTTGAGTTTAATAAATGTTTTGTTTGTCTGAGTTTTGCGACTTTATGATGCGGAATTCAATTTTTCTGTCCTCGTTTCGAAAGGAAGAGGTAATCCTCCTTTGTTGAACTCGTCAAGCCATTTTCCTGAATTAAATACGGCAGCTGCCGATGCAGCCTGGAGATCTAAGTATTCCCGGTGAGTAAGTAGAACAATTATTGGAAAAAGGCTGACCAGTAAGAGCCATTTGATTGGACATTGGAATGGGTAACCCCGAAGTACAAGTGGCCTTGCGCCAAATTACAAGGGAACTAGGCTTATGGTTAAGTTTAGGGCCAGGGTTAAGGTTAGGGTCAGGGTTGAGGATAAAAGTAATCACGAAGGGAGGCAAATGATGAAATTGTTCCTGTGATCAAACAGTCTTCCCCTTTCATACTGATAGGGTTAGTATTACGGTTAGGGTTGATGTTGGAATCTGGTAATTATGAGTGTTAGTGCTGGGGTTAGGACATGGGAATCGGTACGGCCTGGAATTTATCGAAATAGCACCTGCCATATTTTGGAGTTCTTATTAATTCACCTAATCGGCTTCTTTATCGCGCTATGTATTTTGACTGGGTCAAAACCTTACAGGGAAACCGCACACTTCCGAAGAGCAGATAGCGATTCTTCTCCGAACGTGTGTACTTAGAAGTGTGCATTTGACTTGCGTACTTGCCTGTCGAAAGTTGTGACACTCTGGTCTTTCGTTGCCACGGCATGTTTGGCCACCACCGAATCCCACCAATCCGGCATTTCTGTTCTCGATCAATAATAATAATTTGCGTTTGTGCCTTCATTTGTCGAAAACCAACTCGGCAGTTGGCTAATACCCTTTTAAATCCCGCCCAGTCGCCGTGGAGAAATTGACTAACAAAAAGAATGACCTGTTTTCTGGAAAAAAATCACTCAGACTTCGGTTTTTAACTGGCTTAATATAAAAATTCAGTTTATTCTATTCTTTCGCATCCTTCTTTGACTACAGTGGATTTTTTTTAAAATGAATATGCTTGCTTAAGTCACTAGAACAGTATAACTGTTTACAATTATCAATGGGAGAATATGATTCAACGATGATTTTAACTCTTCGGCAGATGGCGTGCCGCATAGCTGTCCGTTCTGTTTACAGGATATAGGAAATGGGGGCTAGACTCCTTACAAAGCCTTATTTCGTAGTTATGATATGTTAACAGGCAGTTTGGATTAGCTTGGATTACACATCTTCACTTTTACAAGTTTATCTCACTGCAGATTAGGTGTTGATATGGTACGGTAGTTGTCTTTGTCGAGATGATTTCCTATGTCAGAGTGAAAGCATTGAAGCATCATGGCGAGAGCTGGGATACCAGTTTCGAAGTATCTTTTTTTTCATAATGCTCTACGCCTCTTCGAATCGCTAACCTGTCTATGTTAGTTGCTAGGACTGTACAACCTTATGTCCATTAAACGATCGCATCAGATAGGGTATGAATAGCGAACCATACTCGGATCAGATGAACGCTGTTTCGCAGATACACGAACGAGACAGTATCAGAAGGGAGACCAATTACTTGCGAAATTTTCTGTATTAAACGGCAAGCACTACAGAAGTACTTTAATAAACAGAAACTGGAGTAAGCAAACGTCAGCACTTGAATACTCTGCTGGATGTCAAGTGACCATTTTGCAAAATTACTTGAATTAAATACTAACGACCATTGAAGACGCGATTAGAACTGTCAAAATTTGACAGCAGTGTCGTTATCGCAGGGGGTTAAGTAAGTTAAACCCAGCAACTGCGATCTTCAGACCATGGTTACTTGTGAGAGAAGAAGTCGTTAAAGGCCGGAGTAGTAGGAAGAATGTATTGTGTACACAAGGGCAGAAGAAGACTTCAGTAAAGGCCAGAATAGTAGGAAGAATGTATTGTGCACACAACGGAAAGGAGAGTAGATGAGAGTAGGTTGACTAGGGAGAGCCACGA